AAGGCTTTTCTTATTCTTCCTTTCTTCCGCAGTCACTGAAGCACGTAACTTTGGTCCCGGACCTTATTTTGAGCACAATTCACCAGACCTCGCTATTTTAGACCTTTCAGCAGCAAGTTCAGCTGAACGTACATAATACAATTTAGATTGTAACTCGTCCCTGTATTGAGAGGATTGCCCGTATGGCATTCGAATACGCGGCACTGAACAATCGCAAGAAGGTGACGGCCGTTCATAAGGCGAATATTCAGAAACTGGGAGACGGGCTCTTCTTACAGGTGAGTATTTAAGATTTTTGGCAAGATATGGGCAACATTAGCGTCACGTGAAAGACTCAGGAGGTCTTGAAAATCCGCAAAGCTCCCTAAGCTCAGACCAAATTTTTCCATGGGTTCACCCATTCAAGATAACGAAGTAAATAATTACAATTACACTGTAGGAAGTTGTCTGGGTGATAAAAGCACTTGCTCATCGAAGACCTCGCTGATTATTGTGTAGGCCTCAAAAGACCGTCCTGAAAGGAAAGTCGAATGTGTGGCCGGGTGCTCGACAGGACCGTTGCGCGACGAGAAGGCAGAGACGAGACGGGTCAGCCGTGTGGGACGTAATATTGTACGCTCATTAACTTGACCATAAATCGCTGTTGTACGCGTTGCGACTCGTCCACTAATCCGTCTGCGTCTCTGCCTTCCCGCCGCGCGACAGGCCTCCTGTGTGTAGTGCCCGGCCTTTAAATACGAGGTCTCGTCAATGTTACTACACTGATAAATATACCATACTACTCCAGCATGTATCCTTTTAGCCACAGCAGATTACCCTGTGGTTTCTGCATTTTACTGCACATAACAAATGCTGGACATCCGAGACTTTCACAAGTTTAGCTCTCTGAAGACGCTTGACCCTGCCCTCAAAAAAGCTTCTTGGAGGGCAGGGTCAAGCGTCCCCAGCGTCAAGCGTTGTGGGACGCTATATGACCTTTCACGGGATGCGACTGTATTGGAGATTCACTGTTGAAGAGGAGTTTTCGCTTTTCGAGCCTTTTCGAGGAACAAAAGCCAGCAGAAAGTGAAGACATCGAAGGGAAGAGGGTTGAGGGTAGAGAATACGTAGCAGTAGTACAGACAGGAATGAGCAGTGGGATGGGGGGGGGGGAGGGCTAGAGGAGCGGGTTCCGCTACTTGTGAAAAAATTTCCTTGTGAATCATGCTTCACACGTGAGCAAGGGCCGGCCATTGGATCAGAATAACACCACCAACTCTTCTCATTTCCCCGACTAATGCAAAACTGCATTACTGCAAGTATCTCAATCGTGACGCGAATGAAGTGTCGGTCATCAGCCAACATCGGATACATGCTCAAAGGATATTTTATACAGACTAGAAAATATTCCTTAAAAAATACTCGAAACATTTGCCCGATGGTTTCCCCTGTGTATTCAAAACATGAGACACGAATAATTGTTCTGAGACCGAAACTCAGACATTAAATTACTGCTTTGCAAAGTATGATTCAAATAAACAATTCGATGCGTAAGACGATTTAGGGTTGTGAAAGAAATGGCCAAATCGGACTATCCACAGATTGAATTCGAGTCAATGATCGTCGATAACGCCTGCATGCAACTCGTGGGTTTCAATTATTATTTTTAGTTTTTGACGACTTAAAGGCAGCGACACCCATTGTTTTGTGATGATCAATATATCAAAGCAGAGGTATCAAATGATGGGATAGTGGAGAACTGAGCAAACTCTCAAAAACCCAAGGACTGCGACCCTTACTCTCTGCCTGTTGCCTTGGGACGAGACTACGGCTCAGAAGTTGGGCGTTTGGGTGATGGCGCGTCAAGCGTAAATGATAACGATCTCTCGAGCTTCAATAGCCATATCGAAACGCGGAACATTTGCAGTCCAACGAGCCGTTTCCAGGCTGTAATTCTTAAGAAGCATTTTACGATAAGGGCCGGAGTCGAAAGGAAAATTGACTTAGTAAAGGACGAGTTCATCAGGCGTGCGAAAACGAATGACGTCCCGACAGCAAAGATATGCCCTGCAGCGCGAGCAGGCCTTAACCGTGGCCGCTGCCGATCCACCCTCTCGTCGTCTGACTCCAGCCGTTTAGCAGAGAGAGCTTTAGTGTTGAAGAGGGCAGCGCCGATGATTCTTGTCTCTACGGAAAACAACAGGCAAAGAAAGGGGTCCCATTTTTTGGGTTCTGAGACGTTTCTCATGTTTATTATTCCTCACCTTTGGACCACCTATATCGTGGTTTCTGATGAGTTGCCTTTTCATCGTTAAAATCGTCCTTCAATGAAGTTTGCTGCTTTAAAATGATTGATGTGATTCATTGCAGGTTTCTCGACCCCACAATTTGATGTGATGCTGATGCCCAACCTTTACGGGAATATCATCTCGAATATCGCCTGTGGACTGGTCGGAGGACCTGGCTTGGTCTCCGGGATGAACATTGGTGAAAATTACGCAGTCTTCGAAACGGTACGTCAAAATATTTCAGATTCCTTTCTCGTACATTAGCAGATGTGCCTTTTGAATCTTTCAATGGCACATCCCTTACAAATAACAAACTAATGCCTTCTCGGTACATAGCATGGAATAGGCAAAACAAATTTCATAGCTCCCCACTCCTCGGAGATAATCCACTGTACTGCCTTATCTATAATAAATGTAATACAAACATAGGTTGTTGCATTGACCTTATCCTTTTTTCGCGATTTATAATATTCAAAAAAGGCAACTTCTGATCGAAATTAATTGCTGATAGTTAAACTGCCGTGGGAATTAATTACAGATCACCTGTTAGTTGGAAAAGTGAAATCTCTTATTTTCCTGTTATTATAGTTGTCAGGGCGGAAGTGGTGTAGTGGCAAGTGGCGCGCTTACCACGCGAGCGGTCCGGGGATCAAATCCTGGGTCGTGAGTCGCCCGGGCCAACCAAGCCTTCCATCCCTCCGGGGTCCCCATAAGTTTAGGCCACATCGCATTCAAACGCCACTACGAATGTACAAATGGAAGTAGAATGCGTGCCGCATCCCAAAAAGGGATTGATCAACGGCAAATGCTTTATCCTTTATTACGGCTGTATCACATTATTCAGGGCACACGAAATACGGGTACATCACTGGCCGGCAAGGATCTCGCCAACCCGACCGCCTTCATTCGAGCCAGCGTTGATATGCTCAGGTACGGCTCCAAGAAACAACCTTTCACCATTTTTGCAACTGTTTTGACAGGGGTACCGACAGGACCCGTCGCGTGGCGAGAAGGCAGAGACGCAGAGGGGTCAGCGGACGAGTCGCAGCGCGTGCTGTGCGATGTGGGACGTACTATAGTACATCTATTTAACTTGACGCTAAATCGCTACAGTATGCGCTGCGACTCGTCCGCTGACCCTCTGCGTCTCTGCCTTCTCGCCGCGCGACGGGCCTCCTGTCGTGTACCTGCTATGACAGTAGTGAAAATGCATGGAATAGATATTATAGCAATCCTCACATTCTCACCCACGACAGCAAACTACAAAAAATGCTATTTCAGGTACCTCGGTTGCCACCAACATGCTGATCTCATCTCAGATGCTTTATGGAAGACATTAGTAGAACAGAGAATGCATACCAGGGATATCGGAGGCACACATAAGGTAGAAGCAAGTTCACGTTTTGTGGAGTTGCAGCCGTAAGTCGATTTTCAGGCTTCGGAAGTGGTGCAAATCACCTTGGACAACATTGCAAGCATGAGGCGGTAGGAATCAACGAGATGGATCTCCTAGAAGGCTCACGAAACTGTTACGCTCAACTACTGACTCAGCTGCAATGATTCAATGGAAATGATCCTTTCGTTTCCTGTCCATAAGGGCCCGTTCGTGAGCTCATCGAGTTCCGAATATCACAAAAATATGTCCGACTTATAAGTGAATGATGTATATAATAAAACATGTAATAATACGTCGACAGCAGCACTAATCTTTCGCCGCGATGATAAGACGCAGAAGCGATTGAACTTGTGAACTTCACTTCTTGGTGAGTAGCAGAGCCTAATAGCCATAATCGCTAGACTGTGCGACATTACGAAATGGCGAAAGGCGCTAAGGCCTGACCTAAACAGCTGCTATCCTCACTTTATCTGAGCATTGGCTCGGTTTCTAACTTCCCTCTATTCGTATGACGTGCTCTCTCGGCTCCTTTCTTCCTTGCTTGGCTCATGCATCGTCCCACGAATCGATCAGAAAAAAAATTTAAGTGTTCTATAAGCATTGACGCTTTCTCTCTTTACTTTCTAGTCTAAATTTTAGACACATGGGTCCAATTCGAAGCACCGCCGTGCTTTGATGATTTTTAAATTCTGTTACTATGAGATAACGAGCAAGCATATTTTTAGAGAAAGGCATACCAGTAAGTTGTTGACGCATGCTTTATGTCACAGTCTATTAGTGATCAGACAAAAAGAAGAGCATTAACTTGCATAACCCTTAATAGACACAGTACGTATTATGAATAAGATATATGTGAGTTGTCAGTTTTGTTGACAGTACGTTATCTCTCCTGCCTCACCTTTACTTAGAAATAGTGATAATATGCAGTTAATAATGGTAATTCTGAAAGCTATTCGTACACATAGAAATGCGAGATGCGAGGTCTTACTGCAAAAAGAACTTGTCTCCAAATTGTTCTAAAGAGTCTATAGCAGCCCTTCAGAGCAGTCTCTGCGGTTTTCATAATAGGAAAATGTGTGTCTACCCAAACTTTATGAACCGACACCTTAGACGCCAGTGGTACGATAAATTGGATATTGAAAAAGTAGGAATCTGCGTGAAAACTGTAAAAAGGGGCCACGCCCTAGGGACATAGAAGTTTCGCTTTCAATGGGCAACAAAACGACACATACGCAGACAAAAAGATAGGCGAATAGTAAACACGCCGAACTTTTATTTATACATTGGTTTTTTTAGATATTTTATTTCTGGTAGTAAACTTGTTTTCCATGTAGAGGAATTGAGAAACCCTGAGATCAAACATTAACAGCAATATTTTGATAACGACAGATGTGCAACCGTAACATGGCAGGAAAAAATTTCTTGCGCTCATGTAGTTGGGAGGGGGAACGATACATGAGGAGCAAAATTGTTCGATAGATTATGTAAGCGCCGGGGTGCGCATCCCTTTTTCGTACGAAGGGGACTTAGCGAATATGAAATGAAAATGTTCGCCGTAGTTTTGAATGCAATGAGTGCGAGTTTGCACAACATTCCCCTGCGCTATATATGGAAATTCTTCACAGCTGATGGCAAGAAATAAAGAAATTGCCAGAATAAGATATGAGACTAATCATCCCTTTGCAGTGTATGCACATATTGATCCTAAAACACATAACACTTCCGAAAACAGGGATAGCACACTTTGTAAAACGAGTAATCACTTCTCAATTTGAGTAGTTCCGAACTTTTGTAGCACTTGCTCTCGTTTCTTATCTCCGACTTCTGTCTCGCAATTGATCCTCCCACATATCCACTTCAGGGTCCTTGATAATCGAACAGAAGGATGTCAAAATAGCCTATAACTACTTCAGCAACATCTCAATTTCAATCAGACGAAAACGAGGAAGCCTACTTTCGGTTCACAGACTAAGGTTGCGCGAGGACCCAATCGTAGTGACAACTTGAATCTTGTTATCAGATGACTTTGCGAATGAAATATATCCTGAATGGTTCAAGCGATAAGTCGGTTGTGTATTTTCCATTAAATATAAACAAAAATGACCGACCATCATGGATGAACTCGGCAGTATGTGAAGGAGAAATCAGTTTCTTATGTCTCCAAAGACGGCATCTGGTGTATCGTAAGAAAGACTAAGTGAAGTCTAGAAAGCAAATTTGACGCTTCGTGGTGACATGATTGTGGTAATACTGCGACTGCTATATGAGCAACCCTCTACCATTCCACGTAGGGCTGCTATGCCAGCAGAAGGGAAGGGAAGGAGATAGTGAGGGTTAAAGGGGCCTAAGTGAAACGGAGAAAGAGGGTAACCAACCCTTAATGACTAAGGTTGAAGGAAGCGATTACGACAAAGAGGGAACGCACCGGGAAGCACCGCACGAAATAGTTACTTGGTTTCCAGGGAAGCGAGATGTGGTGCTCTTACAACCTGAGGTGCGCTGGTTGCTGAGCAGGACCTCGGAAGCGCTCCGCCCCAAAAGCGATCCGCCCGAATATGTACTTGTTGATTTGGACTGACCTGGCAGCAGGGGCACTGAGCTCTCGTTAAAACTATGTTTGTATGGTGCATCGAGCACTGCGTAAACTTCTTCATACGTCCACTTTCTGAGCTGTTACCTGTTCATGAGTGAAAACAAAGGGCAGAAAAGGAGTCCCGTTTTGCGTTTTCTTGGCAAAATTTTCTGCTTTTTCCCGACCGGCGTACCATTGTTCTCCACCAGGTCACACAACTCGTTGAATATCGTAACCGCTGCTTTAAGTGGCTGAGGTTCTTATTCGATATATTGTTTATGACGGGGGTATCCATTCCATCCGTTATAATATACAACCGATGGAGTAGTCTCGAGTAAGTCTAAGTTTTAGTCGTAATGGAGAGAATTGAAAAGAGACGGTAGGAAGGGGAATATAATGCACCTACATAACAAGCAAGGTACAGTTAGCTGAGGTCCCATTGTCAACACGCTGCATAAGATTCATTAACCCATGGATCATTATGTTGCAACACTCATTCCTTCTTATTAAAGTTATTTTCCTTGGATAAGTATGAAGGTATAAAGAAACGCAGAGAATCAGAAGCCTCACCGGCTGCTAGGGATCTGATGAAGCAAATACGGAAGTATTACTAAGAATTCTGCAGCAATACTCCGTAGATGCAGTTCACTACTGTCTTGCTCTTGACATGAATATGACAGAAATATCCGGAAGTAGAGTCATTTGCCTTATAAAACCACTATCATATCCTAGACTGTTAATTTTAGTATTTCGAAAAAAAAAACAGTACATCTACATATGTATTCCGGAACTTCCTGGCCGCTCTCCGAACACATGGGAACTGATTGGCTCGATGTACGACCTTTGAAATGTTATTTGAAAAATTCTGGTTACATTGAGGACTTCAAGTTCTGACTAAGCGAATAAATAGAAATTAGTCACCTTGCACCCAAATGACCGTTGAAGAATATTGCTTGATTCTCTCAGTACGTGACACCTTCTCTTTCGAAGAAATGCTGCTATTTAGAGTCCCACTCCCTAGAGCTCCGTATTCCTCCTGGAAACTCAGCTAGCATTAGACATCTAAACAAAGTTGAGCAAGAGTTGAACAAAGATTTAATGTTTCCCACAGCAACCCACATTTTGAAGATGCGTGAAGAAGATGCCGTGCGAGGTGGCTGAGTTTAGAGGACCGAGTCGCTTGCGTCAAGCCCTAAAAAAGACTGATAATGTGTGCGACACCGGATCAAATCGCTTTAACTGTAATGGTCAAAGGATCTCTGGTTTATACGCAGTAAGGTGTGCCAACGCTCAAAAGCTTGGCCATCGAGCTTCTCGGCGAAAATCTAGTATTTTGCTCGCCGAGATTTTGTGCGGATTTTTTGCTTAATAGCACAAACTCTTGTACTCCTTAGCTGCAGTCATATAATGCTTCACAGTCGTCCGATCGCACGGCCCAGCATGGGACAGATACACATTGACGATGAAATCGCTGATTGATGCGTGTCTACCCCACACATACAGTACGTAACTTTCCCTATCGTCTTCATAGTAATTATCGTGACCACTTCCTTTAAGATAAGAACAGTTCAACGAAGAGATTCCCATATCCCGCTGTTAGTTAATCGCCCGGAATTCTGCATCAGGCCACAAGAATAAAGTCCTGCCGAGCTCTACAAAGTGATGAATCAACAACAACATTGGGTACTCGAACTCGGGTTTGCGTAGAAGTGCTCGGTAGATGAAAATGGACCTGTAACGGTGGTGTAGATTCGTCCTCGACCATTTCGACATCGGTAGACTGTGTTGCTTCCACCATTTGAGATGCCCTATGTTTCTGTGTTCTTCTGATAGCTTGAGACATTCTAAAAAAAACCCTCAACAAAAAGAATTACGGAAAAAATAAGAAAATGGGGAAACTACATTGAGAACCACATTACTAAAACTCGAATTTGTTCAGCTCACTACTGCGAGAGGGGTACGAACTATTACACCACACTGGACCTTCTATCAGAAAAGACTCCCAGGTGATAACTCGCTTCTCCTTCTCCTTCTGAACTTCTATAACAAAAAGATGATTGGTGTAGCTTCAGCCTGGGGTGCTGCATCCAGAAATATCTACCCTTCCTGTTATTGTGATAAATCTCACTCCAGCCCAATTAGTAAACGATAAAGAACCACAAATCTGAAGCATTTCAAGGCGAAATTTTGCACACGAACTTATTCGCGCGTAATATATATCATGTCGCAATTACACAATGAACATATCTCTTTCCGCCAAACTGTGCAGGCGGAAGCTGTGCGGCTGAAGCAAGTACGTTTCGTGGGGAATGCTTCGTCCACGTGTGAGATTCTCGGCCAGATTACTTCGTGGGTTATCTACAGAGGCTGTTCATGAGAACAAAGCCCCTAAAGTCGTCATTCCTCCCGCCATTAAGGTTAGTTTAGCTTTTCTAGACCTTCATAGTTTCTGTTTGTTGTTTGTGTTTTTGCTACTTTTGCGTCCAACGCAGTTTGAATAAGTGTTTGAATAGCAGTTTTATGCGAAGTGCATTCGACAAAGCCTTCCGGTAGTGCCAAGCGTTTCTCCTAATTATCCTGAGCTTGGTCAAATTACTTTCAGCAGAGAAAATAGAGGGTATGTCATGCATCCATAGTGAGTACTACCCTCTGGGAGTTCCATCTGAACGCTTTTGTCTGCAGAATACTTGACACCATCTCCAACTCGCCCTTTGAACTGGTCTTTATGGACTTTTCTGGATCCTTTGAAAAACATCCTCTGGAATTTTGTTACGAAGCATTCTAGATGCTACTCAATATAAATTTCGGGTCTATTCCAGTTGGGGGCATCATGATGCAGTTTTTCCAGAAAGCTAGGGTAACTCCGAGCCAGGGGGAGTGTAGCCAGTCTAGGGGGGTGGGGGTGAGGGCAGTCACTTGACATGCGTGAAAAGCTGGAATGTTCGAGTTCACACTAGTTCGCCGAGAAACTGCATCATGATGCCCCCTAACTGGAATAGACCCTGGACCGTCAGAAGGCGTACAGCTACTTCTAGATACGGCTTCAGCAGACCGATACAATGCCCTGTATTGGTTTACTTGACAGCTTGCTAAAGAAGTCGTCAAAAACCTAGCTTCTAAGTTGAAGTTCGTCTATCAAACGCCTAGGATCTTGTAGGCACGCCTCAGTTCAATGAAGTGGAAGTTTGTCTGTAATTCCATCGCAATGGAAGGACATAAAGAACCCGTCCCTTTCATGTTTGTCCCGGTATCAAGAAGAACAAAGTGAGCTTTTCCTGTATGCATGACTTTCATAACCATCTGTGAAATGGAATACCTTTGAAATAGCAACTTGGAGTAGGAGGAATCCACAGGATGTTAGGAAACGCCAGCTCTGTATTTCCACCAGCAACGGTCTTGGTTGAGAAGTCGCGCTGTAATTACAGTTACAATTTATGAGCATCCTTTTCAAAGAAAACAGCTCAGAACAGTGGCGTGACCATTCGCAGAGTGCTGAATTAAAAAAGGCTTTTCTAGCGTGGACCAACCGATTTGCTCCGAGCATTATCGGAAACGGTTGGTGTCGATCCAACAGCACCTCATTTCGCTTTCATCGATGATCCTGCAACGATTCCAAGTACAGCAGCAACTAAGAGAACCTATTATATGGCCAAGGTATATTTGAACTTCACGAATGGTGCAGTTCGCATATAAGGCTTTGCCCTCTAAAAGACTTGGTTTCGAATAATTTTCTGGAAAGTCTTTCAGGAAATGGGCAAACGCGCTGCACGCCAGTTAGCAGAAGAATGGCCCACGTTATTTGCACTCGACCGCGATGACCCTTACCTGCCGGCATTTCGGCCTCAGAAGCCAGCAGATCCTTTGCAAGTGAGTGTTATCAGTTTGAAGAGAATTTCCCGTTCCAATGATCGATTTGTCAATAGGTTGCACCAACCGAGGAGAACGTTCTGTCAATGATCGAGAAACGAGAAGTTGAAGATGCCGTGAGGTTGTACGAAAGGATTAGAGCGGACAACATTGAGGTGTCACAAGAAACTCAGGTATTTGATATGAGATGTAATCTTTAGATCAGATCGAGGTTGATTATAATGTTTATTCTAGAAAGGTTCATTGTGAGCTTCATTTTTGGTAGAGACCCAATTTGTTCCCCTTTTTATTCGTGATGTTTTTCACA